ACTCCATTGCCCATAAAATGGATGGCCATTGAGTCCATTGGTGATCGACTCTACACAACTCAATCTGATGTCTGGTCATTTGGGGTTCTACTTTGGGAAATATTCACTTTGGGCAAATCACCTTATCCAGGTTTACCTGCGGATCAACACTTCTATCTCAAGTTGGTTAAAGGATATCGAATGGAGAGACCAGACAAATGTCCACAAATCATTTATAAGATAATGACAGATTGTTGGCTATCCATTCCAATTGAACGACCCAATTTTAAACAGTTGGTCAAAAGATTGGGTGAACTGATCGACGAATCCATCCGTGATTATTATATTGAACTGGACATTACTTATAAGAATAATGAAGCTCTTAAACTTGGCAAAGATAATACTCATGAACATAGTTATCTAACGATGGGCTCATCGTCCAGCTTAAAATTAAAAAATGAATATGAATACAACAGTTACATGACTATGGGCGAATCTTCAGGTAATAAAAAGACTGTAGATATGAAGTCTTCGCCTGATAATCCATTCCCACATTACGATGCTATCAAAATTAGAAAAGAAAATATAAATCCAATGGAAGTCGTATCGATGATTCATTTTGATGACTGAATAAACACCGAAAATTATCTTCTCATTATTATTATCTTCTTAAAATAATATATCAATTTAATAATAATACTATAACCCGATTATTTTATTGAAGAGCTTCAATAACAATCTGAAATATTGAATAAGGTTTAACAGGGATTCTAATTTAAATTTAAATTCTGATTGGGCATAAATTAGTTGAAGAATTTAAGTCTATGCGCCAAAGTTCAGGCTAAGCTAAGTATCGGTTTTTGATTTATCAGTTTTAAATATTTTCGCGTTATGTTTCGAAAAAATTTGAAAAATTAAATTAATTAATAAATAAAAAAATTTGACAATAGTTATTTTTCGATATTTTGTTACAGCAAACTGCAGTCTGAAAACACAAGATATCGGATACAAGCAGATGATAAGGATTGCCATGAGTTGAAGTCAAAATGATTATTATTATAATAATAATTTGGACCATTAAAACTAATAGTTTACTCACAGGGATCATAGCAATAACACGAGTTTCAATAAAATGGACAATTGTGTTTATTCATGTTTTGTATTCTTTAATACTTTCAATGATGGAAACTATTATTCATCAGAATATTTGCTTTAAAATAAAAACGCTGGCCTTAATCTGTACAAGGACCTCCGCACTTCCAACATGGATTACAATCTTTCTTGGATCTGCATCTGAAAGGTCCATAACGATGTGATCGACCGCGAGTAGTGTAACACCATTCCTTGTTATTGGGCTTCTTTCCTTGACTTGAGCATCGAGACCAACAGAATCCTTTGTAGCAACCGAATTGGTGACTTTTGACACAACTTTTGTTCTTATAAGTGTTCATTCTGTCACCAAAAGTTGGTCCTTTATCGAAATCATTTTGAGCTGAGACTTGATAAAAGCTCAACAAAACAAGGCTCATTAAGCAGAAACAAATAAGAATTAAAACTTTCATTTTGATATCAATAGGCACAGTAAAAATCTGAATCTTGATCGATCATTTTTATACCAAATAATAGCATTTACTCAATGATGCAATATCCTTTCCATAGAACTCCTTTGGGAGCCAATCAAGCGCTGATCTTCACGAAAGGATATCCTCGTCATCAGTGATTTCGTTATCATCAGAGATTTAAAGCTTTCTGTAAGGTAAAAGTCCTCACAGATCTGTTAATCATTTCATCAAAACGTATCTGGGATTAAAACACGAGATCACTCGATAAGAAACACGTTTTTAAATTTGATAACAGATCTAACTGCCAATAGCTTTTGTCACTTCCAGTAACTTTGCAACCAATATAGAAATGTTATCAGTGCAAACATGTTGAAACAGGAAAAGATTTTACGTTGAGAAACAGAATACTCATTAAGATATTCGCCCGGAAACAAGTAATCGTATTTCTTGCTTTGATTTTGTTCTTAGGCATCAATTTGGTTCAACATTTAAACTTCGCAAACTTAATAAAGCTAGACACAAATTTTCACATTTCCAATTTTCATTCAATTGCGTATAGCGATGATTGCTCCACTATGGACTGTAAATTTAATTAAGTTAGCGTCTAAATACACTTCTTGTCAAAATTTTAAGGCCAGTTAAATTTTTCTTGCTAGTTTTTTTAAAAAAACTGAAAAACATGAAAAATTGGGGTATTTTTTATTGTAACGTTTGGGCGATCTAAAAATAATACGTTGCTGTATTATTGCAAGTTTAGTTGCCGAGGTATTATATTAGGGGCCACATTAAATCCCGGGCTGGCTGTGCCATTGAGGTCACACACAGATCTCGTTATGGTATATGCATAGCTGAAGTATCATAGGTTTGGAAAATGAACTTTTGAAGTTCTGAAATTTTTTGGCCCATTTTTTATATGGGAAAGGTCACGACCGAACCGGCTGAATACAGACTAGTGGAGATAGTCTCTTTAAAGAAAGGGCTGTAGCTTCTTGAAGAGAATTTCAAACTTATGTTTGGACATAACCACAGATAGCCTAAGCTCTGAATGATAAATCAGCTCCATAAAAAAATTTTCGCGAAGCGCAAAAAGGTTTTTGAGAGCCATTTTGCAGGTCACTCTCAGAAAATCGGCTGTATACGAATTTTCCAGCCTTGTCAAAAGGTCATTGAGTCTGATCAAACAATTGCAATGAAATCCTAGACTACAATGTTTATTCTTTCAAATGATACCATGAAAGCTATATTACAAGACCAAATTGCCTTGTATAACTCTCGACAACAGAGGCTTTACATAAGTCAACTAACACTCATAAGTCGATTTCGATCAAACTAATGAAAACTTCGCTCTAACAAAAAATTTAGGCTATTTCATTGTTTCCCACCCAACCTATTCTTCGAATATACACCCTAGCAACATTTCTCTCTTCTTAAATTGGAAATGATTATTACTGGAAAGAGAGGAAACGGCCTTGAAGATCAAAATGAGCGTTTTTGAGCCGTTTTTGCTTCGAAGTCCCCTGATTTGTACCTGAATGGAGTAGATGAATGATCTTTTGAATAAGAAGCCTGCATGGATGCCTAAAGAGATTCAATTGCATAGTTCTCAAAAAAACATTATGATCTGACCCTAGCCCGGGATTTATTGTGGCCCCTAATACAAACATCTAAAAATGAAGCGAACATTGAATTGTTATAGACACCATCAATCCACTACGTCACTAACGCTCCGATTTCGGTAAGCGTTTCTTTAGTTCCTTAAATTGCAGATACGCATCGATAAATATCTTGTTTAACTTTTTAATCATGATCTATATATTATATGTATGGAATTATAATAGTTATATCAATGTTTTTATCAAAATTAAGTTTGCGTCATTATTGTTCTTTTATTAGTCATTAGGGTTATTATTCTATGTATTATTATATTATAATAATATATATATTAGCTAATATAGTTATTATAATAATAGTTTTCAAATCTATTTATTCGTTCCGCGAGATTCATTACTTCATAGCCTTCAATGGATCTCATCATTGGAACATATCTCGTCGGATCAGCATCATTTTCAGAAGTTAGCATTTTATTGACTTCTTCATAAAGACTATTTAGAACTGAATAATAATTAACAATCGTTTCATCCATCATTTTGCTCAGTTTATCAACCGATTGTCCAAAATCAGGTCTTTCAATTGGTTCTGATTTCCAACAATCTGTCATAATATAATAAATATCCAAAGGACATTTATCCGGTCGATCCATTCGATAGCCATGAAGTGATTGTGCATATATAATAACTTCTGATCAAAATCGATTCCTGGATAAGGAGTTGTACCCAAAGAAAAGATCTCCCAAAGTAAAACACCGAAGGACCAAAAATCTGATTTTGATGTAAATATTTGATTCAATTGCCATCCATTTAATGGGTAATCGAGTTGAGCTTTTAGTTTTGTAATTATATTCATGTTGAATGTCTCTGGCTAGACCGAAGTCACATATTTTGACAATCTTCTGTTCAGCAACAAGAATATTTCGAGCAGCTAAGTCCCGATGAATCAACTGCAAATAACAAAAGAAATGTTAAGCGATGTTGCATTTTGTAAAATGCCTGTAAAAAGTTACTTACTTTTTTCTGTTGAAGATAATTCATTCCTTTGGCCACTTGAAAAGCAAAGGCAACTAAATCACTTGTACTAATAATAGATTTACTTTCCTCGGTTCTTTTATTTTCCATCACATTTTCATATCTATTATGAGAATCCATTTGATCCGTATTTTTATTCGAAATATCGACATAAGATGAACTCGAAGGCATGTCTTCCCACGAACAATTTCCATTCATTTGAACGAGTCTTTGAGATGAGCTATTCTGATGAAAATGATCACATTTTTGTTAAGTCAGTTATCTAATGCATACTGGTAACATTGAATAACTTACTTTTTGATTTTCTGCCGATTCCCATTCTACTGACAAGGGAACAACGCGAAGTGGTACTCACCGATTTTGATGTTCTATAGCTCATTCGAAAGAGCTCGTCGAGTAGATAAAAAGTGATATTTTTTAGCTGCCCATACGCACTTTTGTAAAAGTTACAGGGTTTCCTTTCGAAAATTTAAGGCCACGAATGATTTCATAAAACGCTGACACAATGTCAGGTTTCGATTTTTTCGATCAAATTTTTTTTATTATATGAAAATTTAGTCTTTTATCTTTCATTTACT